CTTTCCAGGAGCCACCTGGGCAGACCTGACTTTTGTAGGGTGCAAAACTGGAAAAACTCCTCATGCCTTCTTTTCACACTTTAGTCTCTCCTAGCCACGGTGGGGTCACATGTTTCATCGTCACATATGACGTTTCAATAAAATAAAAGAAAGACTGTCTGCACTCAAACTACACCAGTATATGAAAACCAGGCATGACCAAAAACAAAATAATCTATTTCTTTTCCTTTAAATGTTCAAGTAACATGTCTGCGAGGTGGGAGAGAAGTGATTTACCAAAAACATGTCTGGGACTGAGGCGAAACGGTGCAATCCACACTTAAACCCAAACAGTTCACATTGACTGGTGAGACAGTGTGTCTGTGCATGAGGGTGAATGTGTGTATGTGATGGTGAGTATGTGGGTGGCAGCGTGAATGGGTGATCTCAGTGAGTCAGTCAGGAAAGTCTCAGAGAGGATCAATAAGAGAATCTCTCTCCTTGTTCCTCTTCCGGCTGGTAAATACACAGTTTCTCTCGGGCTAGCGAGTATCAAGGGGGGGCAGACATTTTGTGTGTTCATGGTCAGCCCATATTCTCTTCTACCTCTCCTCCTCATTCATTTTCCTCCTCTCTTTTTCCAAGCAGTAGTCGCTCTTAAAGTAAGGTCAACAACTCTTTTTCCTCATCTCACCCCAGGAAACCTTCAAGTCCATACATCCATTTGTCCCAGAGAAAAACCACGCTGCGCATCTGTTCAGCGGTTTGATTCCAGAACAATCAGCTCTCCTGAAATGCTGGCTGCAGTGCACAAAATAAAACAGGAAACAACACTGGAGAAAGAAGAGATTGTCCTCTTCAGTTCCCAAAAGCCCCAGAGAGTAGCAGCAGTGGCAGCAGCAGCCTTCTTTCCGGCCCTGCCCCCTTCACATCTGCACCAACTGTGACCGAATCAAGGTATCAGCAAAACTCAGAGATAAAAACTATTGACAAAACATCAGCTCAGAGGAGGAGGAGTCAACAGCATGAGAGAAACAGAGAGAGAAAGAGCGACAGTGTCTGCTTGCGGGTCTGATGGCAGTGCCATCCAAAACCAAAGACCCGCTCTGCCCAGAGACTGTTCTAGTTTGTCTCTTACTTTTCAAAGTTCTACCTCAGACCTTGTAATAAATATTGGCCGGGCTCTGAGGCGGCATCTCCTGAACTATGTAGACCGGGTGGCCGTAATCGCCGCTGACCTTCTCGTAGTGCGGGCAGAAGACGCTGTCAGCAGTCCTGAGCGGGATGATGATGTCACTGGGCTCTGAGCCATTATTGTTCCCGCTGCCTCCGCTCCGTTTGGGCGTGGCCAGGGTGCTTAGAGACAGCGTAGCTGCATGCTGTGGGGAGTGTTTGCGGTGCCGCCGCCGGTACTTCAGCAGCAGCAGGACCAACATGATGATGATGATGATGAAAATGACGCTGCCAGAGGCAATACCAACGAAGATGGCCACCTCAGAGCCGATGATGCTGGGGGACTTTCCACTGCCATCGTTGTCGTTGCTTTCTCTGGGCGCTACATCTGGGAGACAGAGGAAGCACAAGTGAGTAAAATGGTTAAGTCTAATTTTTCAAAATGATCCAGCTCCAGTGGCACAAATCCACTAGTGCTTAAAGCTGTTTCCTTTAAAGGAAAGAAGCAGAAGCTGTGTCAGCAGTGCTTCTCTTCTCAGTCTTTTCCTGCCTTTCCTTTTAAATCCTCACATCTTTTCATCATGACACAGTAAAGGTGCAGGGAACAGGCCGGCAGCACAGTGGCTGAGAGTGAAGCCTGCCTATTGAAGCCTTTCGTTAAAGGTCACATTCGATCGGTGGTTATTCAAATTCAGCCGGTGAAGACTACAACCTTGAAACTAGGGCAAGCACAGCCTGGTAGGAGATACAGTGGCAGGCAAATGGCACTTAGATAAATTACACTTGGAAAGACATAAAAAGTAACTTCATTTTACAACTAACAGCCCCATAAGGAAGAAAGTAAGAAAGAAATATTTGATGTCATCGTGAGACATCAATTATGAAAGCCAAGCTGTGCTGTGATGGACACTCTGGTTCCCATCCAACACTCAAGGGCGGGTGTGTTCTGTTCTCCCTGGGACAAGAGTGCGTTTCCTGAGCAGGCTGGATAAGTGAGTTCTGTCTGCCACTGCTAAGTGCTGTTGCTGTGGTAGGGGGAGTGGACACAGAATGGCAGGCAGCCCAAAACAAGGACCCTTCCGCTGTTTTACAAGGGGGATTATGCTGCCTCTGACGCTCTGCCCATAGAGCTCTGATGCCCATATGCTCCTGCTAGTGGCCAGGTTGGGGGATGAGATACAAAAAAGCAGGAGAAAAATGAAGAGAACAAGATGCTGACGTGCCAGATCCGCATGCTTGATGTCGGCTGGATTGGAGAGTGAAAACGAAAAGTGTCTGGCAAGGCCACACACCCAGTGAACCAGGACACAGGGGAAAGGATGGGAAGGCTGTTTATATACTGTAGGTCAGCTTGTTTTTGTTCTTGGACTCTTCCTGTTTTTTGTCCCCCCCCCCAAACAAAGCTCACTGCGGAAATTGCAGATCTGACTTTGTTCTTGGGAAATTTTTAACTGCAATATATAATAGCAGAGAAAAGAGCAGTTTGCACGTAGCAGCACGCCGGTCTGAGTCGTGATGTGGTGCAAAACCAAGTGCATCTTCACTAAGAACAGGTTGTTAAAAAGATGGGTAACAGAGATTGGATCATATTCCTGAACAGCTCACTTAAGCGGAGGTTTAAGGCTGGAAGGCAGCTAGCACGGAGGGACCATGTAAGTCGTTGTGAGACCAGAGATGCTTATCAGTTTTATGGGCAACATTCAATTACTGACTGGTAAATCACTGACCTTTCTTTCCTTCATGTTCACACACACACCTCTCAGTGCCTCTCACAAACACACACACTTACTTAGCGCTATCTGCTCTTAGCTGCCTAAACAACTGTGTGCTCAAATGCTGAATTGTTTCAATAAATCTTCCCCACAATTACCACTTTCCAGGATTTAAGCTCAGAGGTGACTCACCTGGCTTCTCCAGCACATCATTAGGATTGTAGCTGTCCTTCCCATCTGAGTGCTTGGGGTAGTAGGGTACTCTGGTGGGGTTGTCTTTGGGTGAAATAGGGTCAGAGGGATCTGAAACAAATGCAAGTAATACATGGGACCCTCAGGAGCAGTTCAGCAAGGAAACAACAATGATATAACAACTGCAGTTTTGAAAGATACCTACTTAATTTGTCTACCTTTGTCAGATTGGTTTCAGCTGAACATCTGATGCATTTTTGCATCAAAAATATTCTTGGATTTTGTCCCTTAGAATATAGATACCCTTAGCTTCATGGGTAGTATGGACAGAACAAAATCGATTTAGCATACATATGGGCATGTGAGATACAACCTAGAGAGCATATCCTTTCAAAATGTTGCACTTAGCAACTTGTCATTCAACTGAATTTTCCTTGAATTCTTCAACTGGATCGCCATAAAAGCCGTTTTTGCAGATACACTATAATGGCCCAGATATGAACGTAATCCACAATAAGAAGTAGTTGTTGGCTGTTTTTGGTTCTGCAGTGGTTCCATATGGTTCTAAATGCTGCTAAAATGTTTTGTATGCTAGTATCTCTTTTGCTTTGAAAGCTGAGCAGACTCGAAATTGCCACACTAAATGGTGGAGTAATACTGCACTGCAAAGCTCAGCCATACTAGACTCACACAGGACCTCTGATTTGTAGGCAACTCTTCTGGTACTGCTAAGTGGTAGATAAATTTTCAAGCCTGTTCAGCACCTGTTCTTTTCTTCCTCACTGTGCAGCAGCTTCACTTAATTCCCTGACCTTCAGCAATTTTCAATGCCACTGAAGCTGCTGTTGCCAAGAGAGCCAGCCCCAGGAAATTACTACTCTGCATGGCAACCGGACAACTGATTTATGAATAATTATCACTACAATTAAGAATAAGGTCCCATCTGTCTGGTATGAAAGTGTGCAGGATCTGCTGTGAATGTGTGTACTGCAGAGGACAGAACTAAATGTAGATTGCCCTCTCAAGGGCATTGGGTGTATAGGTGACACACATGCAGGGTCATATGTACGTCATTGTGTTCATGTGCATCTAAACTACATTTACTGTGTAGAAAGTCTTCTAATTGAAAGTGTGTATAACAACAGCTACTTCCACTGCATGTGCATGTGTTTCAGTGCATTAAGCTTCCACTAGGTTATATCTGTGCCCTGTTGGGGCATATTCAAAGTCTCACACAGTTTTGAACAATGCATGATGGCAGTAACAAGCATATACAGCAGGTAAAATAAGTATTGAACACGTCACCATGTTTCTCAGTAATTATATTTCTAAAGGTGCTGTTGACATGAACTTTTCACCAGGCGTCCGTAACAACCCGAGTAATTCATACATACAAAGAAAACAAAAATAAGTTCAGAAATTAGGTTATGTGTAATAAAATGGAATGGCACAGGGAAAAAAGTATTGAACACATGAAGAAAGGGAGGTGCAAAAAGGCTTGGAAAGCCAAGACACCAGCTGAAATCTATCAGTAATTAAAAAGCAATCCTGCCCCTTGTCAGTGGACATTTATATCAGCTGGTTCAGTCCCAACTGATGGCCTATAAAAAGCTGCCTCATCACTAACATGTCACACAAGAAACATCTCATGATGGGTACAGGCAGACAGCTCTCTCAGGACCTTTGCAACAACATACTGATGGCATTAGTTACTGAAGGGTTTCTAAACTTCTGAATGTTCCAGCATTGCCTCAGTTAGTTTCAGAGAAAGAAAATCAAGCTGCTAATATGACCCAGCCTATCACATGACTGGAATCCTATGGAAAATCTATGGAAAGAACTAAAGATCAGAGTTCATTGAAGAGGCCCAGGGAACCTTCAAGCTTTGACTGTTTATGTTGAAGAATGGGCCAAAATCACACCTGAGCAATGTACGTGACTAGTTTCTCCATATACGAGGCATCTTGAAGCCTTTTGTACGGACTATTAAATAGATTTTAGTAAGAATGTTCAGTACTTTTTCCCTGATTTTCTGAACTTGTTTGTTTTTGTTTTCTTTGTATATATGGATTACTCGGGTTGTTACGGACGCCTGGTGAAAATTTCATGTCAACAGCACCTTTAGAAATATATTTACTGAGAAACATGGTGACGTGTTCAATACTTATTTTACCTGCTGTAGCTGTAATTCAATACTCACTTTGTCCCACTTTCATGATTATCTTCATGGACTTGGTCTTGCAGACCCCTCCCTCCTGGTTGTCAATGCCCTCCATGGTGCCATTAGATGTAGCTATAGGAGACAAGAAAGAGAGGAACAGGGTCAGACTTAACTGTCACAGTGAGCATCTTCCACAAAAATGATGTGTTGGGAAAACTGTGTTGTCATATATGCCTTCAGCCTATCTCAGAAAAACGGCCAGTTCCCAAAGACAACAGAGGCACTGCAAGCCTTCCACTGAGGAAGGATGTGACTCATATCCCCTTTAATAAAATCACAATTCAGCTGCTCATCACCTCAGCTGCCCCGTTCTGGTGGAATATTTCACATCCCCAAAGTCAATTAGCTTGAGTAATTATGACTGTAATATCTCTAACTGTGCTGATGGGCGTCCTGCAGGAGGCAGTTACAGGAGGTGATGAGAGGGGAGAGACTGAACAAGGGAGATGATGACTGCAATGGCAGTGGCCATCTCAGCAAGCCCCAGGAACTTATGATGGTGACTTATCAAGCATTAGCGCCAACAACACACCAGAGTGGTCGGCAGTTATTAAAGAATGTGCTTTTGGATTTTAAAATACTCAAATACTCAGATCTAAAAGCCAGTGGTGCTGCCAGGCTTTAACAGGGAGAGATCTGCTTACAACATGACAAAAACCAAATCTGGGATGTGACTGGGAGAGCATGAGAAACGATTTAAAAGAAAGAGGGCAGTTTTCCAGGGAAGGCAATAAAATTAAGAGAACAGAGGGATGTAATAAATACCTCAACAGCCCTTAGATGAAAAGAGCTTAAAGGATTTGTAAACGTGTCTAAACACAGGAGAAAACAAGACAGCATCACTAAACACTGTGTTTAAGGGACAGCAGCAGATGTTGGGAGAGGAATCTGCTGGGGCGATGCAAGACGTCCCACATGTGACGGGGGGTGAAATGAGCCCTGTAGGGGCCTTTTAAAATTGGAAACTGCACTTTTGGTAAAAGAAATCTCCACCTGTGTCAGACTTGCACAGATGTGACCCACATATACAAATGACAAAATGCAAAGGCCAGAGCAAGTTGCCCTGCTAGTGCTGGATGTTTTCAAGCCCATTAGCTGCTGCTCTGCCGTCATCTGTGCTGCCTCTGGAGGCTGCTGGGCAGAACTACGACTGCAGCTAGCTCAGCTCATGAGTGGGACAGTGAAGGGGGGGTTGGCTTGTGGTCTATCAGGTCAGTAACACAGAGGCTAACGAGCTGCCAGGGCTTACCGGCTTGGCTTCTTGCCAGTGCACAGTGGCCTGCATTCAGTACAGTTCCC